CGGAGCGCCCGGCATTTTGCTCCCGTGAACAGCGTTAAGTCAGTTTCATTAGATACGACTCTTCGAACGCAAGATTTGTTTTGACACTGCAGCAGAGAGAGGTTGAAAAAGCACGTCTGTCCTTGCACCTCTGCGTTTTTTGATAAATATCTAACCAAGGGAGCCACACGAGAAATTATGCAGTGGGGAGGGAATATGGTTGCTCGTGATTGAAGATATTTATCACATCACTTGGTCGTTCAGGACACATCTGTAGAATACGTTTTGTACATTTTTAACAGGAAGGAGGAACTTATTGAATATTTTTGAACTTCAGGAAAATGGGTTCAGACATTTTTCCTTTGTTGTTTTCGACCTGCGATGCCACAAATATGAAAATAACAGTAGAATAACTTCTTAATTACATGTCTGCCTGTTGCAACTTTTTAAATCTACAGCAACCACAAAATATTTAACATCTTGAGGTACTGTCTTTCTTACCTTCCCCACTTTTCCAAAGCTTTTATTTGCATTTGCATCATTTTTTTTAATCTACAGAAACAATTTTTTAATTTTGAGTTTTGGAATACTGTATATTTATCTCTCCTTCCGCAGTACTCCATAACATCATGACTCTGCAGGCATTGGAAACGTATACTAACAATGTTTATGTAGTGCCCACCACAGGGGATACTAACAATGTTTATGTAGTGCCCGTCACAGCGTACCGGCAGAGTCCGACACCAAACCGGGGAGAAAGAGGAGGTCGATCATAGGCACAATCGAGCACCATGTGCAAGTGCAGACAGGCCTACTGTTTGACAGCAGTTATGATGAAGGGGAAGATTGAATCATGTCCTTTAGACTTGAGGTTCCACTGATCAAAAGTGTGAATCCTGTACATTTATTGTTGGACAAAACGTTTCCCCCAAATTTATGATGTTGCTAATGATTGTTATATTAGAAAAAATGAGGCTTTGGTTACAGGTTCAATGTCTTAGGAATCCGATTTTTATTGTTTTTGCAAAGTAGAAATGTTTGGTTTCTATCTTATTTTCAAAAGGTGCTTTGCTCAATTTCAAATCTAGCATTTGGTACAAATGGTTTTGTATGTTTGGGGACAGGGGAGTATACCATACCAACACTATTGACAAATGTAATGCACAAAACTGTAATTGTTTTTGCAATATCCTAACAGCATCTTATTTGCACTTAAAGACTTGATGCTTCAGTTGAAGGCAATATAATTTTTTTTGTTAAGTGGAGGTTTATCATGGGCAACGCAATTAGACCACACATGTAAATTCACTGCATTGAGTATTAAGTTGCGTTTATTTGTAAACTGCTTAAATGAAAAACAATACCATGTACTTGCCCAGGTGTAAATATTTTTTAACCAAGTGACGGTGATACTTTTTATTTTCTGCTCTCACTTCCTCTCGTGAAGATGTTATCTTTCACCTTTGACTGTGTACAGTACAAATGATGCCAGTCACTCTCCAGTAAACCCTAAGTGGTTATTGACATCTTCAAACAGAACTTTTAGCAAACCTTTTTCATCACAGCAATAACAGAATAATTCTTTGATTTGGAAGGTGTGAACGAAACGAGTAATACGTGCACCACTTCCGTTGTTGTCGATAATAAAGCCCTTTTAATGGAATTGTTCTAAATCTAAAATATTAATATGTATTAAAATTAATTATTAAATTGTGGTATTAGATGATTCATCCATTAATGACCGATTCCTACCTAACTGTAAGAAGGTACCTGCTTGATAATCGATTGGCGGACCCTTTTCCGGGGGTGGTAATATCTTTTTAAAAAAAGAATAATTAGTCATTTAATTCACAACTCTTTGTGGGACACTGCTGTGCGCAATTGGCTACTGCGTTTCGCCCACAAAATACACAGTCAATTCACTTTACAGTATATTCTGTGATAAGGCGCTATATCAAATGCAAGGATTATTATTGTGAAAAAATTGTTTCCATTATATTTTCTTTTTTTCTCTCTCCTGAAAGTTCTTGATTCATTCTGGTGTGTGGTTCTGCTCGCATACGGTACCTTACCCAAACTCCCCTTAGTGTGTGTGCGTCAGATGGCTATTTTACTGTGGGAAATTACAGCTGAGCTCAATCTTGTGCACCATGTGCGTTATTTAATAGGGGTAGCAATCAGAAGGAAAAACTCTGTTTACACCTTACCACCTCAGCCCAGGATTGCAGTGGCCAATAATAGCCCCCCCACTGCTGTCCCAGCTGACACTGACTGACTGCACAGAATGGAGATTAAATTTTGGATTATCTTTGTCTTCACGGCACAGTTTCAAACTGGCACTTACCAACTGAACCATTGGTGTAGCTCGAAGTTTTTACTATTCTGAAAAGCATAAACACTGGAAAAAATCCCTGTTGATTCTTGTTTGGATGTGTGTCATCCTCATTTTGTTCAAAGCGCACACACTTGAGTTATTCCTTTTTTTTAAAAAAGTTTATTCGTCTTTCTGCTGGCCTATTGA